ACAGGTCGGAATGGGACAATTGGCAGTGGCCACATTGCTGTGCCCACTTCACCACAGGCCCCCACTGCAGCCAACCCAGCACAGGCTTCCATCTTCGGCTGGCCCTCCACCAGCGCTCCTCCCCCGCCCCCTTGTCCCAGGCGATTCACTGAGGGACACTTGTCCCTGGGCAAATCACTGTGAGGGACAATTACCCACGCCTCCAGGTGGCCGGGTGGGGCGGGCAGCAGCCTCAGGCTCTGGGCTGGGAGACGCGGCATTTGCTGTGCGGGGCAACTGGCTGTGCAGTGCCTCTAGCCAAGGGCCCTTTGAAGCAGCAAAAGGGGCAAAGAGGGGTGGGGAGCGGGACAGCTCCCTTGCCCTTCGCGGGATGGGGAGAGGAGGGCCCGTCCCTGCCCAAGCCAGGCCACCGTAGGAGGCGACATGTGCCTGGCATGCCCCCCCGGGCAGAGCACTGCAGTAGCAGCAACAGCGGCAGCAGCCCAACCAGCAGTTGCTCCCGCCGCAGCCAAGCTGCATTTGTAGCTGTGCAGAGAACTCTATAGTAATAAAGCTCCTCTTGTTCAAGATCTTATTGAAGAGGAGCAAGCCAACCTGGCATGCATTACTGAGACTTGGCTGACCCTGGAGGGGGGGTGTCCCCTCTTGCAGATGTGTCCAGATGGGTTTCAGGTTTGGCACCAGGCAAGACCCCAAGTCAGGGGAGGTGGGGTGACAGTAGTTATCAGATTTGCTCCACAAATCTCTGGTTGTGAATCCCTGTTCCTGAAGTTGGGTTCACGGGGTCAGATGGGATTGTTACTAGCATACCGGCCTTCCTGTTGTGTAGCAAACTCCCTGCCTACGCTGCTGGAGGCCATCTTGGGGCTGGCGGTGGAGTTCCCCAGACTTATGGTTCTGGGGGACTTCAATCTGACATCCCTGGGTGCGGCCTTGGAAGCAGCCCAGGAGTTCATGGCCACCATGGCCCTATCTCAAATTATAACTAGCCCGACTCAGGACAGTGGTCACATGCCAGACTTGATTATTTTTTTATTGGAGCAATGGCAACGTGACCTGGTGGGGGATGTAAGATTATCCCCCGTCAAGGTCAGATCACCCCCTGGTGTCCTTGAGGCTCTCTGGAACATCTTGCCCCCCGATGTGAGGTTGTCCCCAAATGTCCTATCTTTTTGTAAGGGTGTAAAGACGTGGCTTTGCCAGTCAGCTTGGGGCCCCAGTGGGGGAACAGCGCAATGGAGGTAGTTGATTAATAACAGATCCCACCTCCCCCCCCACTCCACCCCTGCTCTCCCCATGTGTCTTTGGTTTTAAGGTTTGATTTTAACATTTTATGTTTTAACTAAGATGTAACTGTAAGCTGCCCAGAGTTACCCTATAAATAAATAAATAAATACCGTGTTTCCCTGAAAGTAAGACTTACCCCGAAAATAAGCCCTAGCTTGATTTTTGTGGGTGGGCCTAATATAAGTCCTACCCCCAAAATAAGCCCTAGTTTTGGGGAAAGGAGCATCCATAAAAATCAAGCTAGGGTGGGGGTTGGGGGGATGGAGCTGCCCCGGGCACCCTGCACCCACTTACCAGGCCTCCCATGAATCAAAACCTGCCTCCCCTCACCGGCCCACTTCTTCTGTGGCGTCACCCAGCCTGCATTTCACAGTCAGAGGCCTTTCCGGAATGCCTCTGTAGCCGAGAACCAAGCTATGGATTCAATCCATAGCTTGGTTCTCAGCTGCAGAGGCCTTCCGGAAAGGCCTCTGACTGCAAAATGCAGGCCGGAGCTCCATTCTCAGCTGCAGAATGAAGCTGCTCCTTCGGCCAAAGAAGAAGTGGGCTGGCTGGGCGGGGCTGTCAGTGCCACCCCGGTGAGGTGAGTAGAAAAGACACCCCCCAAAAATAAGACCGGGTCTTATTTTCGGGGAAACACGGTAGTCAAATGAGGGTTTAGTTCAGTGATGGCGAACCTTTTAGAGACCGAGTGCCCAAACTGCAACCCAAAACCCACTTATGCATCGTCGGGTGCCGGGCGGGTGTGGCCCATTGGGTGGGTGTGGCCTATTAGGTGGGTGTGGCTGAGGTGGTAACAGCAGATTGGGTGGGACTAAAAAGTTCAATCAATCAATTCCAACTTTGCAAGATCTTTTTTTTCCCCCGAGAAGTTGAAATTGACTGATTGATTGAACCTTTTTTTTTTTGCACACGGCGGCGGAGGTCTAAAGCAAAAAGGTTTTATAAAACCCAGCTGAAGGCCGAGGACTGGGGCGACGGCGCACGTGCCCACAGAGAGGGCTCTGAGTGCCGCCTCTGGCACCCGTGCCATAGGTTCGCCACCACTGGTTTAGTTCTATATCTCTCCACTGTGCCACACTCTTTCATACTCACTTGTGGTGGGCTTTTTAACAGCTGTGTCCCAAACAATCATTTGGGTCAGGATGGAAATTCAATAAAGTATTTTAACCTGTTGGATTTCTACTTGCCTTTTCAAAAATGCCAAGTAGGTTTTCAGCTAGCATGCTTCTAATCCTTTCCCCAGTGACTTCCACAAAGACAAAAACAGGTGTTCTGGTTTTGCTTTCAATGCCCCCCCCCACCCCCCGTCTGCCTGTCTTTCCTCCTCACTGTACAGGCCACACATGGCGGCATCTCCTGCAACTGCCAGGGATGCCCCCACCAGGCGAGAACTGCCATTTTGGGTGGCAAGAAGGAATTCCTGCCTAGCGGAGGCATCAGTGGTGGTCTCAGGAGGTGCCACCGCATGGGCATGCCCAGTGGGGAGGAGAGGCGGGCGGGGGGGCGTGGAAGCAGACGCATGACTGGGTGGGCCGCCTCCAGCTCTGTGCAGCAGAAGCTAATATTGATAGCTATACGTATAAGCACTAGAAAGGATTACTTGCTCTTTAAAGCCTTTTCCCTAAGTTCTGTAGAAGTTCTCTTGTCACTTCCTAGGGTGGAGAGGCATGAAGGCAAAACCGGAACACCTGTTCTTGTCTTTGTGGAAGTCACTGGGGAAAGGATTGGAAGCACGCTAAGTGAAAACCTACTTGGCATCTTTGAAAAGACAAGTAGAAATCCAACAGGTTAAAATACTTTATTGAATTTCTATCTTGACCCAAATGATTGTTTGGGACACAGCTGTTAAAAAGCCCACCATGAGTCAGTATGGAAAGGAGTGGCACAGTGGAGAGATATAGAACTAAACTATAGTTTAGTTTAACTCATTTAACTATAGAGTACTCCACGCAGCTACAAACGCAGCCTGGCCACAGCAGGAGTCACCACTGGCTGGGCTGCCACTGATGCCACGGCTACTGCTGCTGCAGCGCTCTGCCAGGGGGGCGTGCCAGGTGCGTGTCGCCTCTTCCGGTGGCCTGGCTCAGGCAGGGATGGGGCGGGCCCTCCTCTCCCTGTCCTGCGAAGGGCAAGGGAGACCCAGAGGGCCGGGCTGGGAGGGAGGGAGCTGCCCCGCTTCCCACCCCTTTGTCCCCTTTGCTGCTTCAAAGGGCCCTTGGCTGGAGGCGCTGCATGGCCGGTTGCCCCGCACAGCAACTGCTGCGTCTCTCGCCTCCTGGCCCGGCCCCCAAAGCCACTGCCCACCCCACCCGGCCGCCAGGAGGTGCAGCTAATTGTCCCGCACAGTGAATCACCTGGGACAAGAGGGCAGGGGAGGAGTGCTGGCAGAAGGAAGCCCGTGGTGGGTCAGCTGCGGTGGGGGGCCTGCAGTGAAGTGGGCTCAGCAACGTGGCTGCTGCCAGTTGTCCTAGACCCTTACATGTAGTCCTCATTCAGCAACCATTCAAAGTTACAATGGTGCTGAACGAGACTTATGACCAGTTGCGGCAGTCACAGTGTGCCTATGGTCACATGATCGTGATTTGGGCAATTGGCAACCAGCTCAAAATCACAATGTCACAGCATCTTGCAGACACATGATCACCATCTGAAACCTTCACTGCTGGCTTCTCACAGGCAAGGGCAATGTAAGCCACAAGGTCATCACAAAAGGTGATCAATAACATCACACCTAACAACCATTCAGTATTCGCCTAACAACAGCAAATGGAACTGCTGTGTGGTCATGTGATGTGCTTTACGACCATGTTGCTTAGCAATGGATTTCCCAGTCCCAATTACAGTATTTAAACAAGGACTACCTGTAATTAGCTTTAGAACATTCAAACCCTTCCTCTCCAGATATACCTTTCAAACAAACAAGTTTGTTTGACATAATGTTGCTAGAAAGGCTCACAAACTTAATGGTTACAAGAATGACCACTTTTGATTCCTGGTCTCATTTTTCTCAAGAACACTGATATAGTATCTATATTCAACTAGTTATTTTTTCTTTATAAAAAAAGAAGAAAACGAAAAAAAAAAAAACAGAATTGAAGCATCCATAGGAACTATAATACAAAGAAGAGGCTTCTTCAGTCTTTCTCCTCTACTGGCCCCACACAACTCCAAGTAACTGGAATCAAACTGGATGGCATACAGGAACAATCTTTCAAAGGAATTGCTTTGTGGTTTCAAAAAATGCAATACATGTGCACTCTTTCTTTCTATATGTATACACCAAACATATACACACACTTTCACATACCTACAGAAAAGTTACATAGTATTCATTGCTGAGTAGAAAAAAAAGCAGCTTAGAAAGTTAAAATAAGCTCCACTGGCCACGTGCACAGCTGTCTCTGGCATAGAACTGGGGGGGGGGGGATTCCTTCTTTTAATGCTCAAAACCTAAAAGGGTGTAGAGAATTGCCCCAAGCTTGCTTCTGTATTAGAAAATGGTAAACAACAGATTCTGGCCATGCATGGCTTGCAGTTATGTGGCTGGTTTTGCCCTAGTGTGTTGTAGATCTCATGCTTTCCCTCTGCCCTATTCTGTTGAAAAACACACATCCACACATGGCCCTTGAGAAAAGAACTGCATATAAGCCTTCCCAAAGCACCCACCTGGGCTTCCCCTGCAAAAGAGCTTGAGCTGAGCTACTCCTTACCCTAGAATACTGAGGCAGACCTTCCCATTTCGGTAGAAGTTAGGGTTAAACCTCACTGTATTATTCCCAGTTGTCATCAGTTTGACCCGCGGCGGATGGATAGGATAATCTGGAGGACAGCGAAACAGGAACAAGAAGAAACCCCCTTCGTAAGGCGTGTCAAAGGGACCTGTGATCAACGCATGAATCTGCAAGAGAAAAGCCCAGGCTTGCGCAAACACTTCTGACTGGAAGCATCACTAGCAGCACCTGCTCAAATGCCAATGGTGGCTGACATGAGTCAGAGGAGGCAGAGAAGGCTTTCTCCAAGCATTTAGAGAAAACTCAAACACTTCTTAAACAGTTCAAGACTTAGACTTCATTCCTACCTATTGAGTTGAAGCAGTAAAAAATATTGTGCTCTGCTGTCCCTGCTGACCTTTGCCATCTTTTTGCTCTCACTGCTGGGCCAGGCTGGGACTGGCTTTGTGCTGGGGAAAAAAAGGGGGGGGAGCCTTTTTCCTTCTTTGCAGCGTGAAGCCAGTCCCAGCGGCTAAGGCTTATCAGCATTAGAAGGAAAGAAGATGAAGGTGAGATGGGGCAACAGACCGTAGGGTGGCAGGGGTCTCAGAGTGCAGGGTGGAAAGGGTAACTGACACTGGGCTGGGGTGGCTGCGGCTTTCCGGGGCATGGCAAGCATCCCCAGAGCCACGTAGTTCTGGGGATGCTTGCCACCCTGCAAGACAGGGTGCAGGGTGACCAAAAGGACAGAGATGGAGGGGAATAGGTGGGTGTGGGGAGTGGAGGCAGTCGCTTACCTTACTGAGACTCAGGGCTGGGAGGGACCAAGCCTGGAATGGTTTGGATTGGGGTGGGTCCTTGGCTAACAATGGTAAAATTTCCTTAATGACAGCAATGGGGATTACTGGGACTGCGGTTGCTTAGCAATGCGGTCACATGACATCTCACTTTGTGATTGTACTGCTTAGTGACTGAAATTCCGTTCCCAATTATGGTTGTAAGTCAAGGACTACCTGTAATTAAACTGAACCAGTAGTTTTGAACGAGAAGTTGCCTCACTGGGCTGTTTACTGGACCCCCACTAAGACCTGATTTTGAAGTGTGCAAGGCTCATTTCCATCCCTGCTGGTTAACACAGCAAGTGTTTACCATGAAGAAGCAATGTTTTAATTTTTGTTAAATTGCACTGGAAGACTTTCTGAATGAAAAATGGGACAATAGACTTTTAAAGTAAGTAAACATTTACTTAAATTCCAAATTTGCTTGAAAATCTGAATGGTTACTAAAATGTCACAAAATCATGGTGTGTGTGTGTGTGTGTTCTCAATGAGAATTTAAATTTCCAAGAGAGCCTTGGGATATATATCAACCTTGGATTGACACACTATTCATCTGAAATATCAATTATTGTAACTGACTGGTGAAGTGATCATTATTTGACTCTAACTATACAGGTGAAACTCGAAAAATTAGAATATCGTGCAAAAGTTCATTTATTTCAGTAATGCAACTTAAAAGGTGAACCTAATATATGAGATAGACTCATTACATGCAAAGCAAGATAGTTCAAGCCGTGATGTGTCATAACTGTGATGATTATGGC